GGCATATTGAGTGAGAAGTTTAAGATTTTAATTAAAGCATTTTTTGTAATATTTGTATTTTAAAGGAGCCGCAGAGGCAACCGTAGGAAAAATATTGTATTTATGTACGGTAAGAGTAAATAAATGGCGGGCATTATAGATATTCGAATAAAGCCGAATATAAATCTTATTTGTGATTGATTTTTTCCATGAAAATCTCCTTCGCTTAACGCCACCATTTAAGGAACAGCTTAAGCTATGCAATAACTTTTAATCTAACAATTTCCATACATTTACTGTATTCGTGTTTTTGTAAATTACAATTGATTTTAATTTATTATTTTATTATTTTTCTATTCATTTTTTTTACAAATTTTTTTTAATAACATTTTTGAGTTTTTTGCTTTTATTAGTTGTTTTGAATTTTACTCTTTGCATGTTCTTATTATTGTTCTGTCCGGTTGTTTTTCCTCTTGTTTTTTTCTTTGCAAATTTTGAAATATATATATATATATATATATATGTGTATATATTTGTTGCTTGTATTTGCTTTTCTTTAAATTATTTTGCAAATAGATATTTTATCACTTTTTTTTTAAATCAAGGTACTTTAGTATAATTCAGTTTAGTTTTTAGCATTACTTAATTTTTCAGTTCGGTTCCTATTTGGATTTGTTTGAATTTTGCTGAAAAATGCATTTTAGTAGTATTTAAAAGAAGTGAATTTACATGAGAAATTTTTTACTTAAAACATTTTCATAGAATCATATTCTACTTAAGATTCACAATAACAGTTAGTCATGGGAAATTTTCATAAAACCAATAAAATAAAGGACGTTTTCACGTTCATTTATTCTTAAATATACGAAAACATCACTGTCTTTTTTGTTTTTATTTATTTATTTTTTTTTTATTTGTGAATAATTAAGATGACGGTTTACATTAAGGATGAACCATTAAAAATTAACTAAATTCTGTCATCGATCTTGTATTTGAAAGTTGTTCGCCAAAACTAATAAAAATCTTCCTTAAATAAGTTTGGACAGCAGATGTGGTTAAACCAAAAAACTATCGTTGTGCAAGCCAGAGTAGCCTCATTACGGCTTTATTAACTTATTGGAAACTTAATTGAATGCCTTTTAAAAGGTACGCCACAGTTTTTCAGCCAAAAACTATAGAAATTTTATAGCAAAGTAAATTGATTTGTATTTAAATTCGTATCCTTTGAATTGCATCTTAAGATCGTTTCATTAAATTTCGTGATGTGATCTGAACCTTTTCGAATAGAAATTCTCAATTAGTTTGATCGCTTATTTGCTAAATCCTAATAGGGTTGATGGAGCTTTGATAGACAGACATTCTTCAAGTATCTTAAAATGTTGCCTTTGTTGTGTATCATACAAAGACTTTTTTTCTTTGAAGTGTCGATCAAATTCCTAATTAAATATTGCTCCCTAAATGTGAGTTTGGATATATAAGCTTTGTATATTTTATTTGGTTGGACTGAGGTTGTTTAAATTGAATTGCTGGACAATTTCAACGAATTTATGTGACGGCTTGACTTTACTTCTGCGTAGAACAGTGCTGCGTATTTAATTGGAACATATTTGTGTTTCTTTTATCGCAACTACGGAATCTATGAATTTCCCACGACATACTTAGTATTGAATTATTGAAATAATAAAAAAATTTTGACAAGAGAAGCAATTTAAATCAAGGATAAAAATTTGCTGAAAGTATTAAATTAAAATATTAACACATACTTGTGTGTGCAGAGCTATTTGATTGTAACGCACTCCAATTGCATTTTCTAAACATTATGTAAATTATAGTAAATAGTACTTTAGAGAGGTAAGGTGATGATAATTTGTGATACAGTTTTTATGTGATTACATGTGAGACGAAAGTTGATGTGCAAAAAAAAGAAGAAAATATCAAATGTCTATGTCATCGAAAGCACGTTAAATCAAACGCTCACTATACCATATTCAGAAGTCGATATTGTTTGTGGAATTTTCGCTTTCGTTATCAGCTTCGACCGTTGACGGCGGCAGGGCCAAAGACATTTGTGGCACCGCTGTGCCGGTCAAAGCCATGGAAGGTTCCGTATTACGCCGTTTAATTTTGCTTTTGTTCTTTTTAAGCATAGTAGCCTTTAAATATTGTTCATTTGTTTGTTTATTTATATAAATAATAATTATTAATATATTATTTATTTATTATTATTTCAATCCGTCCGGTATATATTATTTGGATTTTTTCGGGAAATATACATATATGTTTTGTAATGTTGTGAGATTTATTGTTTTGTTCAATGGATAGCAGTGTGATATTTTGATGTTGTTGTTATTGATGAAGTTTTTGGGTCCATGTTGATTATTTTACAAAACGAGTTTGTTTGATTGCGAACACAGAGAAAAATGAAAGAATCGAAATTAAGAATAATTTATTAATTTTTTCCTTGTTTCTTTTCTATAAGTATACGTATATTAAACAGATAACTTATTTTTTTATGATTTATTTATAAAAGAATTTAAAGTGCAAAATATTATTGTAACGAAAAGTTTTTTTTTTTTAAGAAAAAATAATTACAATATTTTATTCAATAATTTTAAAATAAATTTAAAAAAAGAAGAATTTCTAAGTTCTTTATATTTAACAAATTTTTAAGGCAAACTAATTCAAATAAATGTGATTTGCATTTCCACATAATAATTGGAACTGGAGAGAAAAATTATATTCGATTTAAATCGAATTTTTTCACAGTTTAAAACAATTAATATAATATTAAAATAAAAATAAATCAACAACGAGAATGGCATACACAGGACAGTTAGTCGTTTGAGAGTATATACATATGCAAACAACATCTCCTTAAGTATTTATTTTAAAATTTAAATCAAGATTTGCTACGGCATGAGCAAAAAAAAGAAACACTAACGCAGCTATTTCCTGGTAAACTATTTCTTAAGAGAAGAGCAAAGAACACTTCGCAGAATATATTGCCGGAGCAGTAAAGTGCGACGTGCTTTTCAGCAAAGACGAAAGCATTAAGGACATAATGGTAGACATTGTTGGCAGATAGATGAAAGCGAATAACTATGGCTTTGGTTGTGAATAGCTGTTTTTATTTCATAGCGCAATTCCTTCCTCTCTCCCACTCGCTCTTTCTCTCTAACTCTGTCTCTCTCTACTCGAGAGGCTTCAACAACAAACAAACGGACGAACATATTTGAATCTATTTATAATTTTACATTGATCAATATTGTTTTAGATAACTTCTGATATTTTTGGTGGCGAAAAATTTAGTATTTCGCTCCTTTTTGAAATTTTCTTTATTATTATTATTAATTTAGCTATATTTGTCAAGTTTCCAACATTATTTAGGATCGCTCCATCCTCACTCCTCTAAAATTCTACGACAATAAATACATTGAAAGTCCTACTGTAGTTTTCTAAGCGCGTGTCATCTGATCAAAATTCATTTTGATTGGTGTTTATATCAAGCTTTTAAAACTTTATAAAACTATATAAAATTTTTGGAAAGCATGTTTTTCTTTGTTTCTTGGCCTAAACTTTACTTTGAGGGGTTTGAGAACCAGTTTTATTTACAAAGCAAATATTTCCTTTGGCTGGGCTATTCAATTGGTTGGACAGGGAGCAGTATTCAAATACTTCTACATAATTTGAAGTCATGCAAACATTTCCTTAAATCTCAGATTAAGAAATTTTTTCCTTTTTTTTTTTTTAATTATTCTGCATATCCGTTTTTTCGTCTGTCTGTATCTGTGGTAAACGTTCTCGTATACGTAAAAATGAAGAAATCCCCTACAAGCTTACAAAATAATTTGAAAATGATTCAAACCGATCAAACGAACCATCTGCAACCCCCGCCAACCTATGCAATACAAAGCTGTAAACACCTTGTTTTTCTCTGCTTTTAGCTTGTTACTCATAGAGTACAACACGTGCGTCATATAAATTTCCACTTCTATTCTGATAATAGAAAAAAGCCGCGCCCGCCCAATATTATACAGAATTAAAATTTAATTATTTTCCTTTCTTTTCTTTTCTTGTGAAAGAATAAGGTATAAAAGGTTCGGTCATGAGCGAATGTAATTTTCCTTCTTGTTTACTATTCATTATACCTTTGTGATACGACTATTTGCAAACGTATGCAACAGACAGGAGGACTTGAAACAAATCGATCTTTTATCACATCAATCGCATCTTGAATCGATTGAAACCTATTTGTCTAAAGTCGACGTTCTTTTTTTTCTCAACAAGAAAAAACTTTTCAGTTTTTACAGCCAGTTCGCATTTAACATAGTATCATGAAAAAATCACTACCCCAATTGTTTGGGGAAATTTGAAAATCGGTTTTAGTAGCCTATGTCGAATTTTTGAAATTCAAGCTGTTTCTCATACTTCCTATGGCATCTGTAAGAAGATACTCTTTTTTATGTAAATGGAAAACTATGGAACTTGTAAGGATTCAATCTCCGGTAGTGAATATGAAAGCGATCCTTAAAGTTTTCGAAAATTGTGAAATAAAAATTCAGATTCAATTGACAATATTCCTAATACGATTTTGATCTTCCTGAAATCTTGGAAAATATTCATTCCATAAATGCTGTGTTTTACATATTATAGATAGAGCGTTTAGTGGATTAACTCGATTAAGCGTTTAAGTTCTATGGGCGGTTTATGACCATCGACATCGAAATTTATATACGCCTAAAACGGATTCGTTGCGAACTATAAATATTGAAACTCTCAAAGTCTAAACTTTGGCTTTCACCGATTGACCTTTTTTTTGTTTCTTTTAGATTTTCTCTCTTCGCAAAGGTTCCAAATATTTGTGTATGGGTGCAATGAATGGGAGTATAGTGTCGCTATTTATTTCCTTAATGGATGGACTGTTATGCTGTATGCAGTTTGAAAAGTAATAATATATAAAAAATATAAAAAACTGAAATGAATTTTAACTTAAAAATATTTATAAAAATTTTATACAAAGTTCTGTCTTAAGAAATATCTAAAAGGAAAAAAAAACTTTTTTAATAAAAATGAAAAGAACTATATAAAAAAATACAACTGTCCCCGATTGTCGGCACATGTACGTATGTGTTCATGAATATTAAAATCAACATTTTAGTTATTTGCTTTATACATTTTCCTTTAGATATTATTTGTTGTGCTAAATATTTAGTTTTGTTATTAGATTGCCGTGTGAATTCACTTGTGTGTCTATTTAATTTTTCGTTTCTTTTTCTTTTATTTCGCACTTTTACAGAAAACATGAAAACAGAAGACTTGGACCGGACGGACGTGGTCTCTATGTGCTGGTTGCCGTAGAATCTTTATCCCGCTCACTATTCTCCAAATGCATTGCAGCCGCCGTTTGTAATGCAGTTGAGGATGATGTCGCGCTCGCCATATTACTTGTTAGACCCAAAATGCCTGGCGTTATATGCGGCTCAGTTAAACGTCTCTTGCATTTAGTTTTTTTGAGCATTGTAGCCTGCATAGTTAAGTAGGGAGATTGATTCATCATTTTTTTTTTGTTATTGTTGCTTTTTTTTTTAAATTTCATTTTTAATTTTAATAAAACGCTTGTGAGGTTTAAAACTAAATAACGGTTCTTCGCTAAGGAAAACTTGCTAGAGCTTGCATATAAATTCGTTTGTTAGGGTATTTTAAACACACAAATTGCATACATATACATCACATTGCATCGCATTATATCATCTTCATATCATTATACATCAGCAAAATACTCAAAAATGCTCAAAAACATCTGACAAATATTTATTTATTAGTGTTTGCTTTGTGTTTTGCTAATAATATATAATAGAATCTTTGAACTAGACGCATTTTGAAATTGTGAAAGTACATGCTTATCATCTAAACCGTGTCTAAAAAGTACTTAGCTCGATGGACTTTTTTTTAAACATGATAGAATTTTTATCTCAGAGGCCATTGCAGCTTGAACTATACATCAGAAAAGTCGAATTGACTACCAATAAATTGTTAGCCACAGTACCTTTAAGACAAGTTGTAATCAGGAAACCATCTACTGGCCACGTGGATTGATGATACTTTGGGTAAGATGGCAAGATCTCTCCTTTTCTTCGTTAGGGCACAAATTGAATATAAACATAAACTTTTCTATCTCAGGGTGAAATTTGTTGCCGCACGGAATACGCTTTTTCTTTTCCTTGCCATTTCCACGCCAGTTGAGTGCTTTTTCTTCTTATTAGTGATACACTTTACTTCTGATTTATTTGTCTTTTTCTAATAGTAAAAAACCTTTTCGAAGCGTATGCAAGAGAGCATAAAATATCAAGAGAAGGAAAAAACTTCAGGGACGAAGTTCAGGGAAGAAGTACGAGCCTTAAAATGCAGTATTTTTGATCAGCTTAGTATAGGACTTGTTCCTATGGTCTTAACATTTCCATTTGCTTATTTTGAGGTTGTGTCTTGGCCGGGATTTATGTATATGTAAAATATATAAGCTATCATATGTTATGAAATGTATAAGGCAAGACGACCGGTCAGCGTACTTTGAGGAGATTCCTTTTCTTTTGAGGTTATGTCTTGCTAAGATCTAAACTATCTAGAATCTCATTGGAGATGGCATACACTTCAAAACATTTCCGAGGTCTCTTTGTGACAAATGTCTGATGAAGAATAGACGCTACAATTCATAAAAATTTTGCCATTAATTAGGACTTGGCGATTTTGTATCACAGATAATCTACTATTTTCGTTCTACCTTACTTGCTATTTTATTTCTGCTAAGCAAACCTATTGTTTAGAGTACAGAATGAAAATACTTTATACTGTCGTTATTCACGACGGTCAGCAAAAATATTTTTCGATAAAAAAGATTTTACAAAAAAAAATCAAATTTGCAAAAAGAAAATTCAATCAGTTCTTTAAGGTTTCCTGAAGAAGAAAGTGCAAAATGGATGCAGGTAGAGAAAGATAGAAGTAGGGAACAGTGTTTGTGCAAGTCTGATTTAAAAGTGGAAACATAAGGCACGACGGGAAAGACCCTCCTGGTAGATTGTTTCGAACGCGTGGAATGTGATTAAAGATTAAAAGCGTTACGGTAATGTGTCGTACGATGTGCAGACAATTCCAGAACGGGTGAATGGAAACTTTGATGATGTTAAAAGACTTAATTGGTGGGAAAATCTCTTTCATCTCTGTAGAGCACTTGCCGTGAACGTACTTATAGACAAGCAATAAAAAGTCCACATTGCGAGTCCACATTACGCCGTTACCGAGAGTTTTGGACATGCCTCCGTCGTCCATTACTATCTGAGCCTTTCACTGTAGGTGGTCGAGCGTCTTCAAGCAAAATTTGGGGGCCTCCATCCAAGGGCGTGTTATACTCTAGTTTTGAACATGTAGAGATGGTGTATTTACACCTAAGCCCTTAACTGTATCTTTCGGCATGTAAGTCCCGTTCATTTTGTATTCTCATGCCCCGATCATTTTGCATTTTTTTAATGCGACTGCATTATTTTGACTTTCTTCAAATTATTAGTAAATCTATAGAGAAATGAATTATTCAAAACCCTGTGATGGGATAATAACAATAAAACGTCAACCAGAGAAATATTTCATATTAATCGTGATTCCACTTTGCTAACGGGGGTTCGAATCGAACTCGTGCTGACACAACTTACAGTCTTGCAAAATGAACAAAGGAAATAATACGGAAGTATGTGTGAACGATGTTGATAATTAGAGATTGTTGATTACACTTCTCGTCTCGATAAGAAAACTTACGTTTGAAGTCGTTCGGAAAGATGTGAAGAAAGTCTTCGTAATGTTCTTTTGCTAACTAGGCATACAATCAAAAGAGAATACGATCGTCATATGCGATAATTATTGTCAGTGTGGATTATGGTCCGAATTTTTCTTAAAAATGTGCTATATCTAATTACACATTTAAAGAGGTGAATTTGCGTGCATAGTGAACTTGCGTGGAGAGTGCATAAGCTCTAAAAGCAAATGATTGTTCATCGCAAGATTATCCTTGGCGACGATATCGACAGTTTGGTCAAAGATTTCGTTCGCAATGTCGATTGATGGTGCCATTACGTAAAAAAGGCTTTGTTTTAAAAAGTGATATCATGACGTCACAATCAATAGCAAACGTGTCTGCATAATGCTATTCAGCAATTCTTTGAAGAAATTTCAAAAACGCTTTCACGCTTATCAAAGCGTAAAGTGCCTAAAATGCTTCCAAATAGAGGAAACAAATTATTAAAAACAAAGCGCCATGACATAATTTTTGAGATTATATATGTAAAATGCGTCCGCTCATTCTTTCATTATTATTATTATTATTATTATTATTATTACTTATTAAAAGCTGTTAATAATTACTTGTTTACTCTGCTTTTTTTTTGTTTGCCATATAATTTACGATTTTATACAAAACATTAAAGTACACATATTTGCAATAAAAAGATTACAACAATGTTTGTTCTGTGTTGAGTTCTGAGAGTATAATCGGTTAATTCAACTTATGGTTTGTTCTGTTAACAGAAACTAAAGGAAATAAATGATAAAAAATAATTAAACAAGATTACAATCAAATAATAATTTTATTAATGACGTTAATAAGATTTTCTCTTTAAATGACCGTTTTTTTTTTTTTTTTTTTTTTTTTTTTTAATAAATGAACTGAAATGTAAACTAAATAAAAAGCCAAAATTTTATTTTAAAGGAAATTTTGTAAAAAGGAATATAGAGAAGCTTAGCATGCGCACATAGATGAAACAGTTTTGACGAAGATAGCAGGAGCATGCAGTTTTTATTAATTAATTAAAAAAAAAAATTTGTTTAAATTTTTAACAAAATTATTTAGAAACTATTTGATGAGACGAGAAAACACCTACCTTGAGGGCTGATTTCAAGACGACGACGTCACTGGGACTTTGTACCCAAGGTTCTCCATCAACTTGGACAGGCATATCGGAGTATAAGTGTATTTTGATGTGACCGCCCTTAAAGATCAAAACAAAAAAAGAAGGATAGAAAATGTCTAATAAAAATTTTGTTAATTTTTCGTTTACGATTGGTAACTCACTTGAGCAATACGTGTAGCGGTACGTATACCCGACTGTATTTGACCTAAATGCACTACACCGGAAACGCCGACAATTTCTAAAACACCGTCATAATGATTGGGTGTAGTGAAGTTATCGTCCTTATCAGGACCCCAAGGATTGGCACCGCTACCCCAACTATTTTATAAGAATTTTTAAGTTTTTTTTGCTTTGTTTTAACTTTTTTCATTACCTTAAAATATTCAATATAATTATACCCTCGACGGGTGGCAGTTCAATAACTTTGCCATCAACTTCTAAGCGCAATTCCTTGTGCAATTCCTTAACAGTTTTACGTCCGACAATTTTTCGTAAGCCCATCTTTACATAATAGCCTTTGTTGTGTAAACGAGAATTGAATTTATTTGGATTTTCTTCCCGCGCATTATGAAAATCTAAGCAGAGGTCTGCATCGACACCAATACCAAAATAATTGTTCATAACAAATATTTGAGAATTATCTTCGTTTTGAGCACCACCACCTCCTAAAAACAAAGTGAATAAACGTTTAAACAGACTTTTTCATAATTTTTTTTTTTTTGACCTAGCGAGTTGGTAGGTAAGAAAGAAATTTCGTTGTTTTCATTTATATGTATCAATTATGTGCAACAGTGGGAGAGAGAGAAATACATCGAAATTTCTTGAAATATATATATATACATATATATATATATTTTTTTTTTTTTTTCTGTGTTTATATACATATGTGTGAGTATGTATTGCTTTTTTATTAAAGAAATAGGCAAAATCGGTTTAAATAAGTTTAAACATGCGATTATCCTAGTTAGAGAATATCTGTATTCAGACGTTCTATATTATTGCTCTTTATTGAGAAATTACACTTTTGTTGGCAGGAATACAAGCAAAGTATGGACACAAACCGATAAGATATGATATGATGGTGGATAGCCTTTTCCGATGGTATCATCAACTTTGTAATATTAGATAGCCAGCAGCAGCAACGATTTAGTCAATCGTTTCAAATAATCTTTATTTCATATTATAAATTTATTTAATAAGTAAAAACAGCGAGCGAGTCTTTTATACGAGTGTATATATTTCAATGTGTTTTAATACTTAGTAGGCATGGGCGATTTTCTCTATTTTTGTATGGGTGCTGCATAGAATCTAAATGCTAGTTTATATTTCTGTATCTGGTATGGTTTATAAATGATGACCATAAAACTAAATTCTTTTTACTATTGAAAACAGAGGTATCCTTAGGTTGTACCGTACTGTGATCGAGTCCTTTGATCGATTTGCCTCAATTTCAATACCAATGTGCGTGCAAGAATTTCGGATCTTTGTTTGAAGCAGGCGATGTGAATGCTTACCACAGACATTACACAGATTGACAGCAAGACGGGTTCATCCTTCGGTGGTGAGCATAAAAATAATATAAAATAAATAATGCCATTTTTTAAATGTTTTTTGGTAGGACCAATCACTTAGGACATATCCCCTAAACGTGTTATCGTGAAGTGGGGAGGCAGCGACACGAGAGTGGCACGCATCCTGGCAGAGTTGCGAAAGTAAACAGAATTTTTGTAAGTCCTTCTTTTGCAGGGACAAGAAACCATCGTTATTGAAATGTCGGTATGCATAAAATATATGTTTTCGTTTGTACAACTTGAAATTGTCATTAGAGACCCCATGAATAATATTTTTTCATTTAGGGTACGTTCGATTTAATGGTCCCGCTATTTGTGTTTAAATACTCAACTCTCAATGCATCATTTGGAAAGCGGAAAATTTAAGTTACAATCCCTAGCGGATATGGGCCTGAAATTAAATAGTGATGAGAGCGGGAAGGGGAAGGGCAGGGGAATTTGCAATAGCCGGTAAGAATCTCGTGATATACGTTCAATTCTCCTAGAAAATTTGCTGAAACTTAGTGCATGCTTTCAATGCTTAAGTAAATAATTTCTAATAAAAGGCAAATAAGAAATTTATATTCGGTCGTGACCGAATCTTTTATACCCATCATCGCTGTCCCAAAAACGACTAAAACAGAAGAAAATCGCCCGTAGAATACGCTATCAAACTACTCTAGATTCATTTACTTTAATTCATGAGTAATGACCAAAAAAAAAAAATTTTTATTCTTTACGACAAATAGAATCGTTCTCACTGCTGTCGTGTTCATGAAGTAATTTGGACTACTTTCTTTACCAACCCGCGTACAAGAACCGCCATTGTTTCTGCCAAACTTTGTTTTTTGCGGCCATGAGAATGCTTACAGCAACCATTACACAAACGGACTTGTTTAAATCATTTCAAAATTTGATGCTGTTTTGAGAACATATATGCATTTACATATACATTTTGTGCAGTGTCTGAAGCTTCCTTCTGGGCGTTGCAGATGTTTTGACAAAATGGATATACCCCTCATTTTTCAGTGATGAATATAAAAATGATGTAAACGAAAGTTTTTTGCTAACCAATAGTATCCAGCCTTTAGCCTATCGGAACAATCTTTGATAATAACGATAAATTTTTGCGACAAGCCTTAAATTGAAATCTTTCATTGCTTCTACATTAGTGAAAAGAATATTCAACAACTTTCCATTTTTTTAAACCCTTTTTTGTGCATTATGTCTAAACGCGCAAGTTTGAGCGCTCTATTGGAAATAAATTATATAATTAACTGTAATATGCGACAAAATGTTGCTTTGTATTTAAAGAGATAGTGACATAAAATCCTTAGGATTTTGGAATATTATTTTAAATTAGATATGGATTAAATTATTTTAGAATAAGCATTGTGGAAAATAATTAGTAATGTTTCCTTTAGTTAATAGACGTGACTTAAGCATTTCATAGCTATGGAAACAGTTGTGAAATTTCAATTTCGCTAGAACAGTTGAATTTGTATTAACTCTATTAAAATTGTTACTAATCTGCTTTGCGACAAAGCAAACTCAGAATTGGTTGACGTTTCGATAATAATAATGACTCAAATGTACGTAATGAGTTCAAATAAGTTTAGATTACTTTCGGAAAACCAATTATGCAATCAGTTGATAGAGAAAAGTAATTAATATGAAGATTTTCTGTTCTGACTGTTTATATTACAGTTTTCTTAGGCAAGCTTAGTTGATATGAAGCATGCGTTTAAATAGTTGTTCATATGTATGTGTTTATATAATAAATATTTATGCACATATGTACATTATTTTGATTTGTATTCACATCGAAACAAAGCAGCATGTTCAATTACATACATACACGCGTTTACGTACATGTAGTGACCATTATTGTATTTGTTTGTCTTTCTTTCTGTTTAATGAGCTAGAAATTATTGGAATAATTCTTTTTTCTTTTGCTTAAAAATATTAAAGTGAAGCGTAGTAAACAGTAGGAGTACATTCGCGTAAAAATTCATTCCATTTATTACAAAGATTTTAATTGTAAATGTATTAAACAAATACAAAGATTAGGAAAAGAAAGCAGGACGGGAGCAAGGGAAAAGCAGAGAAACGTACAATGACACAAACACTTCTGCGTACTTGTGGTGGAATACAAAAAATACTTTTTTTTTTTTGATAAACTTTAAATATTTTTCAAAAGACCTGATATATCGCTCGTTATGGCCGGTAATTGATGATGCTGATTTGTTTGTTGCGATAAGTGTGCTTGGTGAGCCTTCTTCTTCTTACCGGTGGTATTTGAGGGCGCTTTAATTGCCGGTTCCTCAGGTCTTTCCTCCGGATGAAATACAACCGTCCAACGATCAAGACGAATTTCTTCCGCATCAATCACATCGCGTAAAAGGTTTAAAGGATCTTCCCCGCCAGTGTAGCCAGAGCCCCAGCAGAGAACACGTGCTAAGTCATTGCCTAACAAATGGAAGAAGAATCAAAAATCATATTATATAGCACAGAAACGGAAGCATATATAAGCACAAGCAACAAAACTTACCAGTACCCAAAGGCACTATGGCGCACGGTGGACTAGAACACTCCGAATCTTGTCCGACGTTATCAAGACACTGCAGTACCCAACCAATAGTACCATCACCGCCACAAACTAATATTTTATAATTGGCGATTTGACGAAATACATATAAACTGTAAGCAAATTAAAGGACAGTCATTTCGCGTAAATTGTTAAGTATGCTTCCACTTACCCTGGCAATGGTCCACCATTGTCCAGATCGAACACTTGGAATGGATTTAATAGCTTTCTAAAGCTTGATATTAATTCCAAACCTTGACAGCCCCCTGATTTAACATTGACGAACACTAATAACGGCCTAACATCCGATGGCACCATACTTGGCTCAATATTGGGTAATAGTAAAACTAATAATTTCTTATCCTCAATTATGGTTTCCCGTAGATTATAAAAAGCACGCACCTAATTAAAGGAACAAGACCCCTTTACTATTTGTTATTTATCAAATTTATTATTACAAGTCTTACCGCTTTTTGTGAGTCTTCAAAGGTCAGTACTACCGAACCGTATTCATAATAGATAGGACCAATACTAGTGAATTTATTTTCATCGGTTACATAACGATTTAAGATTTGCTCATAATTACGCTGTGATAGGCCGGGTGGTAAATTTCCAACGAATAAAGCTATGTTTGGACCGTGAGGATCTTGTTTATACTGCATATAGAAACGCATCAATTCCATTTGACGTATTGAGTCTTTACCCAAATGTTTCATAATATCCCAGGGACGTTCATTCCAGCATAATATGCGTTCAGTAACACCACGATCTAGTAATACTTCGGAACATCTATTACGAAACAAAGAAAAATGTTATCATTAATCATTAAAGCACAAGTTTGATAGAAAAAATCTTGCCTGTAGTCTTCTATTTGGTTGTCTTGTAAACCAAATTTATCTAAAGCGTCACGTATTAAATCTTTAATGGTGGTTGTGTTATCTACAGGAACACTGACGTAAGGATCTTCCAAAGAACATTGCAATTTACCGGGATACACGCGAACATGCCCTTTTTCTTTATCGTGAAACCTGAGATATATCGCTGGCCGTTTCCCCTCTAAGTGTATTAAAGTTTGTACAGGATTTGGATCCTGTAATGGAGTGTCTTCCATTCCAGCTGGAGCATATAAATCAGTTAAATAAAATGCCTACGAAACGAACAACATTTTTTTCTTTCACGTATTGTTTTTAGTACGTATTAATAACTTACACTTGGATCTCGTGTTATGTGAAATGCTCTTAAAGCAGTGGTCAATAATTGTTCGAGTGTGTACGTGCGCGGCACTATAATTACTCGATATAGTTGACGTTTAAACGAATTGTTGCCATCGAAAACTTTAACAGTTTCTAAAAACGATATAAATATTTTATAACTATTTCCTAAATTTGAATCAAAAACTGAGGCGTTACCGATGTCCTTCTCTTCACGTTCTCTTTCCTTTTTTTCTTTCTCCTTATCCGATTTATGGCCACTAGATGATTCTGGTCGATAATGCGTTGATGAGCCAGCAGTACTGCAGCCCGCTGCACTACTGACACCAGCGCCACCAACGCTAATGGAACCTGCACTAACACCAGCAACGCCTCCCCCAAAGTAAAGCGATTCAATTTTACCAACTGATGATTCTTCATCCTTAGCACATGGTGTATCGCCGCTGCTAAATTCTTCAGATATACTTCGTGCTGTTTATGAAAAAGCCGCGTGCCAGAAATGAAAAGCAAATTGAGAGCGGGAAAGACAGAAAGATAGAGAGAGAAAGAAAGAGAGGGAGAGAAACAGAGAGATGGATAGATTGATAGATAGATAGATAGAAAGAGAGAGCGAGAGAAAGAAAGAAAGAAAGAGAGAGAGAGAGAGAGAGAGAGCAAGAGAGTGAGAGAGAGAATAGATTTATCAAAAACGAAAAAGAGAGTAAGATAAGTAGAATGGTGTTTAAATCTTCATTATAGGGTTTTAATAGTTTTATTTTTTATTTTACTTTATTCTAATTAGCTAAAAAATCATTCAATTATATTAAAACTAAGGCAAAAGTATTTTTCATTGCAACACACACATTGGCTAATAATATTACGATAAAAACACATTGAACAATTGCAAGAACACTTTCTTTTTACACGGGAAAAAATTTTATATTGTATTCTAACAAACGTCACCACGCTTAGCTTATAGTGCGTGTTCGCCAGGAAGGCTTACCAGCTGACTCATTTCGCTGCAATTTGGACGCTTCACTTTTGACAGAGATATAGATTTAACCAAACTTAGTCAAAAAGTTTTAATTGTCAATATGCTTCGTCGAAGTCAAACCGATCAATTAGTACAAAATTTTGGATAGATATTATTTGAGGTTATGTTATTTGTACATTCTTTTAGTCTGTTTTTTTTCGAAGGTTTACTTTATCTCTCCTTCAATCATTTAGTCATGGCTCAGTATATGACTTGATAATATTCGCGAGTTAACGAAATTGCTATGAAAAACATTTTCTGTCACGGGAGCTGTGTTGGAGATGTGAGCGATGGTCCTAATGAATGAATTAATTTTAGAGAATTCTGCCGTTCTACTGGAGATAGATAGATAGATAGATGGATAGATGGATAGATAGATAGATGGATAGATGGATAGAGAGAGAGAGGGAGAGAGAGAGAGAGAGAGAATTAGTTGCTCCGTGAGAGCATCGCTATTGTGCTCGAAGTGGGGCCGTTGACGCGACTAGCAAACGGATTGCTCTAAGATAGAGTGGACAATAACAATAACAGTGGACATGTTAACAATAACAGTTATACGTAGGTTACGAGCGGAGGAAACTACGCCCAGCTGCCAATAGTGGAACGAATGAATGCATTACTGCACTCCCGCAAATTATGCCGAAAGAATACGGCGCTTGTGATAGAGATGCGTACGGTGGCTTAAAGAATTAAGTAGGTTGTTTGAAGAGTATACTGTGTTTGACGTTTCGACAATGACACGAGTAAATGATTTGCTTTTAGAAACAGTTTCATCCGATAACAAAAATTATGAATAGAGAATGTAGAGGATATATGACAGTTGTTCTCGCTCTGCTCACGACGACATAAACGAATGAAAAATAACTGCGCCTGAGATGTTGACGACGGCTTACTACATTTTGCTTGAACATTTATTTCATGGAATGTTGTTAATATAGTAGCGCGTTTGCGAAAGAATCAAGTTATCAAAATACGCAAAAACCCGAAGGAAACTATTAAAAATAAAAAATATTTTCTCAACTTCACTTTGGCTTCAATTTCAAAGAGTTTGGATTTTAAGATATTCGTATATATCCTCCCCATGCGAATGAAATGTTATGGTCTGTTTATGAAAACCGGTAAATCTTCCTTGCGAACAGCCTATATTTCATAAACTTCATGCATATAAAGGTTTTTTGATCTTCATGCATCAATAAAGGGCTTATTTTTCAAGTATTGCTGATGATTACGAAGAAAGCGCGGAATACAATGTATAAGTGTAAGAGAATTGTGTTAAGAGACACATATAGATTATGTTAGTTGCGAAATTGATAATTATTAACATTATCATCATTTTTACATTTTAGTTTCAGAGAAATTATGTATGTATGAATGATTATTTGCTGTTATAAAAAATCAATATTAAAAAATCAATATTAATTAGTATTCAGAAAAAAAATTAAACTAAAAAGTGAACTAACTGTTTAAAGGAATTAAAATTAGATAAACAAATGCATATTATTATAAATAAGGAAGAAAATTATATTCGTTCGTCACCGAATCTTTTATATCCATCACCGTTATCCTTAAATTTTGATGCTTTATAATATGGAGGGGGGCACGGCTGATTTTTTCTATTTTCAAAATAAAAGTTTTTGTGGCATAGGCATGTGGGTGTTGCAGAAATATTCTTTGACAAGTTTAGATAATTTTAAAATTCTTTTGATAATTTATAGGCGATATATTTATATTCTTTAATTTGAGAATGTTTACCACAATACTACATGGTTGTACAGGCAGATAGATGGACGGATGAACAGTCAGAGTTTAAATGCATTCCAAATTTGAAACTCGCAAATAATTTTTATACATTTACGGCCTATAGAATATGTATTCAATTTTTTATACATTTATCTGCAGTAGTCTATGAGTAACAAGCAAAGTTGCAATTTTTTATTCTTTTGAAAAATAGAGGTGTTCTCTGTTTCCGTGATGCTGTGGGTGTGTTCTTCGACCGATTTGGCCCATTTTCAACACCAATCTGCGTGCAAGAAGTTTTAATATTTCTGCCAAATTTGAAGTTGACAGCTTAAGTTTTGCGATCAGGAGAATATTTAGAACAGACATTACGCAGACGGACGGACGCACAGATGGACAAATGGCCAGATGGACGCGTTTAATCGATTTAGATTTTGATGCTGAACGAAAATATATGAAGTTTGTCGAGCCTTTGATGCTTCCTTCGGGGCATTGCAAACGTTTTGGGACAAGTAATGTACCCCTCATCCTTTGGTGATGGGTATAAAAATGAAATAAAAAATTCTTATTAGTAGAAGGAAATAAAAAGTGCAAAAAATGCAAAAGATCAAAAACTGGGAAACAATAAAAACAAAAAAGAAATTGTATATGGCCTGGACCGAACTCTCCAATACCCACCACCAAACTTTTCATTCTTTGATTATCAAATTATACGAAAAATACACAATAATCACTAGCACTTGCTTTACTATTCAAAAAAATTTCGCATATTCCTTTGTTTCTTTTGCAATTACGTCGTCGAACCAGTAAGTCTACTAATTTTATGAAGTCGTATACGTTTAAGCTATTTCGGCACTCTCGTTCCCACTAACCTTTCATGCGAAAAACCTCGTTTATGATGGTTATTGCTATCCAAAAAAGTGTTCAATTTCGTATGGAAAAATTTAAATCGTCATCCGCCATCCTTTTTCTTCAGAATGTATTTGATCGCATTTAGTTGATCAAAAAAATTAACTAATTTTGTTAAAGATTAGGGGAAGACACCACAGATAATAGATGATTATTTGTGGTATAAAGTACAAAAACAACTTATGGATAAGATGTCGGGACGATAGGATTAAGCGAGGTCCGCGTGCAGCGACTTTCATTAAAGTAACCTGTACAGAGACGTGAAAATCAAAGGTACTTAAAGAACACAAGACCTGTAAGCATAAACCTTCAAATAAGTATTAAAATTGCTCCCTCTAAAGAATGAACCGACATTAAAGTTTGTGTTTGCTGTACACTTTTTGTGCTTCAATAAAAAACACGTCAATCGGGAAGCACTATAGATTAAATACCTCTGTTCTACCATTTTACCAATCCGGATCTGTATAGAAAAGAAAAATTTCAATTATTTTTCCATTAGGTGCTCTTTACTTCGAAATTTGGTATAGAAACATCTATTAGTATCGTAAGCTTATGTGTCCATCGGTTCTTTCGATGTGTGGCCATGTTGCTCGCAACTTTCGAGTACATTGAGAAAGTTTGGCTTAAGAACAAACCTATTAAAAATGGTTTGGACCAGACCATTTTGACAACCTATGATCGCCGTTTGAAGAAATCATTGAGAAGAGATATAGGATATTAAATTTCATGGACAACAGGCTTTTTACCTTGCTTTACTACTCCGAATTTGACATCTTCGTTAATAGGTGGAGGAATAAACGGACAAAAGGTAAGGGACGTGACTAAGTTATTCCGAAATCTCTTGCTTATCAGGAATATACATTTTTCGCGGGAATTTCCAATGTAGAATCCAGAGGTAAAAGCGATGTCCCAGTGGTGGGTATAAAAAACACAAAGATTAGTTTTCTTATGTAATGTAACTGAAAAAATAACCTAAAAATTATATAGAAATAAATCACCTCTGCGTTTATGATAATTTGTTCTCCGCCAACCGATTGAAAAACGACGCATCCGTTTCAAAAAACGGCCAAAAACATGTTTGCTATCATCGGGCGGCTGTGACTGGTTTCGGTTATTGCCGCAATGACCTAGGTCACCACTCTGACGGATACTGTGGCAGGATAGAGGTCTTGAGCGGTTATCCATATAGCTTCGTAAAATATTCTCATCATCTTCGTCATCGTCTTCATCATTCTCTTCATCAACCTCGCAGTCATCGCTTGCCTCTGGATTGCATCTTCTCCGTCCATAGCTCAAACTATCATAACTATCATCGTAAGGATGATAATTTCCATGTTCGTCTTGTATGATAATTTTAATATTTTGTGAAATCGCATTTAAATTATTCGATTTGCTCGAGTTAATGTTTTTTAGTCTACTTCTTGAACGTTTTGAACGTCGTCGCTTAAAGAAACGGGAATATTTTTTAGAAGGTGCTTCCAAACTTGATAAATGCAATCTCTGGCGTGGCTCTCGAAACAATTTATTTTGATTAACTGGTGAGGGTTGCTGTTGACATGATCTCGTCGTATCAGGTTTGCGTGAAGTTAATGAATAGTCGCTGGAATTTGGCGAGCTAGAAACTTTTGAATATGATTTCGTAGGCGTAAACATAGTTTTTAATTTTGCAGTCGCACCGATCTTTCGAGAGGAAGGATATGTCGCATCCAAGGCAGTGTCTGTTGTTGAAGATAGCACGGATTTAAGGCACGAATCGTACGATTTCTTTCCCATTATCGTCGTTGACAAAGACAGATTGTGCTCTTTTTTATTCTTACCTACTGAAGTGTTTTTTTTATTATTATTATTATTATAGTTTAGGTTAGTTGCATTTAAATTTTTTAAATTAATATCGATGTCTTCAGTGTTGATTATTTCTCTGCTAGTGTCTGAGATTTCATAGAAACCTCGTTGGAAAAACGATTCGTCATCCATATCACTGCCTCCATCCTGGCTGCTGCAAGCCCCTTCTATACTGAAATCACTAGCTATGCCACTGGTAGCTGCGGCTTGTCTTTGTTTATGCCAGACATTCGATTTTTGGTGGAATTCATTATCATAAAACTCATTCTCATCACTGAAATCAACGCCGCTAAGGATGCCAATATCTTCATCTTCACTATTGCTTAGCGTTTGTTTCCGTGGTAACGAAGTCATTGAGGACTGGGATAAATTTCTTCGTCGCTTTTCGTTACCATTATTATACTTATTAGTTGGTATTGTTGGATAAATTAGCGAGGTTGTCGATGATGGCGCAGTAGAACAAGAGTTAAAAAAATTTTGTTTTGATTGTTCACGTCGTAGTCTCTCAATCGATAAAAGTTCTCTTAAACTTAATTGAGAAGCTGTGCTTTCTGCAGCAACGCTAACATTTGTTGAGCAAATTGATGTTGTTATTTTCATTGTAACGGGTTTCTGTTTTTCGTAGTCATTGAACATAGCTAAATATTTTTGCAATATGTTTTTTATTGGGATTTTTCAATTTTTATCCAAAAAAATCATATTAAGATTTTTTTTTATTTTTAATTGATAAAAATTAAAACATAAATAAAAATAAGTAAAATTTGTAAACTTAAATTTGAAAGTTTTTTTTTTTTTTAAATAATATCAGATCAATATTAATAAAAACTAATCGAATTTTTTTTTGAAAAATCAAAAAAAAACCACACAGGAAAGAAAGAATGGAAATTTCAAAATGAAATAATTGCAAGCATGTAGGAAAAACTTAATGAAATTCTCTATAGATCGTATTCAACTTTTTTGTGGTAAGATCTTCGAGATCAAATTTTTCATAATTTCCGTAATGTGAAAGATTGAGAGAATAACTTATGATACTTTATATGTATACGATCAAAAATTAACGATAATTTTCAAATTTATCATACCGTTCCTTCTACACCTACTCGATTGCTTTTACGGATATAAACACAGCTATATTAATAGTATAAGCGCAAATTTACAATTAGCTTTGATCTCTAAGCTTAGCATTTTGCAAGTAACTAAGTAAAGGAGTACTTCATACGAATATCAGAGGATTTATTTAATAACAGAAAAAAAAAACAAGTAAGAACACCATAATCGACTATTAGACACCCTACATCGGTTCACTTTATACACACATTTGTTCGTTTTTGTCATAATACGTTGTCGCCTTGGAAGTGATTTGGTTTCGTGAGAGTCCCTTTATACGATTGGTGTCTAAGTAAAGGACATATCAAGGATTGGGCGATTTTGCTTTATAAGAGTTTATTTTTCATTAAGACCTTTTCATGAGGTGAGATTTAAAAAGTAGACCTCCGTTGTCCAACTTGGCTAAAATTATGGTTTCCGCATTATTATTATGCACAAATTAAGATTCATCAAGAAGTATTGAAAATTAGGTTTCTCTTCCATATAAAGATTAATTTTCTGGACCAACCGTTATCTGGCAGAGAAATGAAAAAATTTGCCACATCCTATTTTAATTTTTCACACCTATTTAACCATGGACGGAAATCAGGCGGACAGGAAAACTTCAAAACTTGCTTCTGAATGAACCGGTATAATAAAAGATGGGGCTATCTCAAGTTCTTCTGGGTGATACGTTCGCACAAACTTAATATACCCGGGACCACAAGTGGTGTAAACTTTTATAGAAAGATCGAGATTCTGCCTGTTCGTCAGAGATGAAAACGCGAAAGAATTTACATAAATATGTTTCAGAATAGAAGGAAATTTTGGAGGATGTTGATAAAATTCATAAGAATAATTCTATTAAAATTTTGAATATAAAAATATTGGAAGGAAATTTACCTCCAAATTACTAAAATTTGTAATGGTTTTTCAGTAGAAGTAAATTTTTAATAAATAATTGCAAAATACTTTTGGATACAATCTATTAAAAAGAAAAATCATAGTAACTCACGTACATTAGACAAAATAATAATATGAATTTGTATTTGTCTATAACTAGATTATGGTTCGGGTTTTATGCTATGGGATATGAAGTTGGCCTGTGCTTTCATGAATATTATGATCATGAATATGACGGAACACATACATACATATATATTATTATCGCTAAACAAAACAACAATCAATTAATAAAAGTGTTAAGTTCTTTTTTTTTTTAAACATGGGATGATTCTTAATGATAGGAAAGTGTAAACGTTTTCAACGAAATGATTCTGGGTGATATACTTTGTATGTTAAAAAGTCTATTGTAGATTCTTTCTACATATATATAAAATCTTAAAAATTATGTATTTGCATATATTTATACATATATATGTATACCGCGATTTGAATACGAAACTGATTAAAACACGTTCTGGCTTAAACGTACTTGCAAAAGTTATATAAAAAGAGTGTCTTAATGTGCCTAATTATCACTAAAAGTGAAAAAGAGAACAAAACTTTTTATTACTTACGGCACGAATAGTCGCGAACAAGACTTGATTTTGATTTCACTTGTACGCCAATAATTGCCTCGATTGGCACCTCAGTACGTGGTATTGAAACTGAATGTGGAGGTAAGTAAATAGGTTGTAAAACACCAAAATTACATTCGGTTGGCAGGTACACGCGACATCCACCGTGTGTAGTAATACCACACCATTCGCAACGATAACCTTTGAAATAAAATAACCAGGTAAAGAAAGCACAAACAAAATAAATTCATAGTGAAGAAAAATTGCAATCTTTTGCACGAATTATTAAAATATTTTCTTATTTACCTGTTAGACATTCTGAAGACCAACAGTTTTTCTTGCAATAAGCACATTTGGACGTTGATGGTAGATTGCCTTCTCGCCAATGATGCTTCAGTTGGTTGGTTTTAATAGAAATTCGTTTTTATAAATAGATAATAGAAATTTGATAAAAGCACTTACTTGGTGCTTAACATTTAACAACTCCTTGCCGGGCACATATGTAGCATTCTCTGTACAATCGGGCACTGCAAAGTCTTGACACTCAATATGGGCAAAATAATCACAAACTGTAAAATGAAATAAATGGAGCAATAAACGAATTCAAAAACCATTCATTAAAATTGTTCGTTAAAAATTATCAAAATGATGTTTTACGGTTGTAGAAAATTTTTTTATTAATTGGCGTAGAGTTGTGAACAGTTCAACGAGAGGCGACAGTTGGACGAACGAGAGGGGGAAATACATGCTTATATTAGTTAATTAGAAATCCATACAAATCAATCATTTATAAGTTTTGTAGGGTCACTGGCGTATTAGTCGCAGTATGATGGTTGCGAATAGAAACCACATATCTCTCGTTTACGGGCACGAAAACTTTATATCAATTTATAATAGTTATTATTTAAGCCAAATCGACTATCTTATTTCGTTTAAGCCGTTAACTTTATTCACTACGAAAAATAAATGCGAGAGAAGGTCGACGTTTAAAATCCGATTTCGAAAAATTGACCCATCAAAGGTGCTAAAATATGTTGAAAGAGTAAGAAAGCAATAACGCAAACAAAGCTATAAATAATGGTTTAATCATTTAATAGCAGCGGTTACAGCTTTGCGAGGTGTCTTCCTTGCGAAAGAATGTGTTCACGACAGGCAGATTAATGGGCAAGTAAGGAGATTATAGTGGGTCGCGGCTCGTCATAAAATATCTGATATCAGCGGTCGCCCTTAGGCCAAAACACATTCGATATGCCAAAGTTCAACAAAATGTCTCAAAAACTGCGGGCTATTAGTTGAACATAAGAAAACAAGGCAGACAGGAGGAGAGACAAGCTCAGACCGGTATCATTGAAGTTGGGTCTACCTCAAGTTTTTCTAAGTGTAGCGTAGATCCTCGTAAATTGCATATATTCTTGTAAAACAAGCGGGCTAGGGTATAAAAATAATAGTTATTACATTGTTACGCAGCAGCTTTCCTATATTTCTGGCAAAATATGAAATCCTTGCTTTTTCCACTCTATCCACGAAAAAAATCTATTTTTTTGTTTGCGTTATACGGGAACAATAAAACATTGGTTGTAACAAGTGCTATTCCGAACGAGTATTGCCCAGTGGTATCTCAAAAATTGCGGCAAAATAATACGCACAATGAAATCAGACGAACAGGCGAACAGACAAGCTCAGATCGATTCAGGAAGTGATTCTGAATCGATAAAACGTGATTTGCCCAATCCCACTCTGTTATTACTAGGCAAAGATACATTATCAAGGACTTTAACTATATTTTCACCTTAATTACTATGATGTAAGCTTTGTATAAGTCAATTAAAGGTTTTTCTTTTCCTTTGATTAACATAGATAATTCATATAATGAAATTTCAATTTTACGAATTTTTAAATAACTTTTCAATATTTACTTACCCAAGCAATGTACGGCCGGCGTTTCATCTAAACGTTTGCGACATACTGTGCAAAACTTTTTTCGATGATGCGTAGGTTCAGACCAACAATGTGCAACAGGATTCTAAAATAGATTTTTTTTGATTTGATTTTAAGTAACAAAATGAGACAAGCACTTACCTTTATAATACAGGGCGCTATACCAGAGCACGGAGTTACAACGTTTGAAACGCATCTTTCGTGTATTATAAAGTTACAAACTGTCATAGTTAATAAATAAATAGAAAATAGATTCAGTTCAAATAATTAATTAAACGATAACTTTTTAAAATGTTGTAGCAATTCCCTGGCACGATATTAAAGACATATTGAATATATTTATAGTTTTTACTATAGACACCCTCTCAGTAATACTTGATGGCTTGACAAAGCCTGAACCAAATGATTTATATTTAGTTTATGATTATAATTTAGGCTCCATAGTATATGGCTGCCAGCTTTTCATCGAACTTTTCATTTAAAAATTCAAATTCTTTAGCAATTATTTAATGTGTTGCTTTATTTAGTTCGAATTTCTATCAACAAACCTGGGCATCACCTCGCTGCCGCTCATAAAATAAGTAAAAAACGGCCCACGTGTATAATGAACTATGAGTTTTCATAACAAAGGCCGAGTGCATATTAAATTTCATACGCCCTTTTCAACATGTAGAAATGTACCAAAGAGATCCCATTAAGTGTATTGCTGACTATCCCGAATAGGGAAAATTTAGAAGAGTCGGTTTGTATGATATTAAGATTACGAGACAAAAACTTTATCTAAGAGAACTATTTTGTTTTCTCTTATCTTTCGCGCTATTCTCCTCTTGAAATAAATTCGAAACGATTCGATTATAATCGCCTAAAATAAAAATATGTATATATAATAAAAATGAGATTTAGGACAACATATTTAAAAATGTTGTTCTGATTTGCAATTTCAGGGCCCGCGCTGTAAAGTCACCACGTGTTAGACTCTCGTTCGCGTTATAATAAAAGTCTACGTTGAAATCGTTCGTTCCCAGAAGGTGATGAAAAAACAACGGTTAACAAAGGTTTTTTTGTCAACATTTTATATAATCTGTATGCTCCAAATAGCTAACGTATTTATTGAATTCATCCATGTATCATTACAATAAATAATAATAAGTAATGTTATAATAAACAGCCACGTTATCGTATGTGCCCTTCGTTTCACACCAGGGACGCATGTCTTATTTTTCTCTTTGTGTTTTCCTGTTTTAGAATGCCACGACATTTGCTTTCGCTTTTTGCGTTTTCATGGCGTATTCGAACAAGCAGCATTTTAAATCGACTCAGGAAGATTTTCACGTTTATAAAACGAACATGAATTTTGCTGAAAATTATCGATAGTATGTAAGTGGTAATTCAACTTCCATGGTTCCATGATTGAGTGGCAGAATTTGAAAAGTTCAAATATCAAGAAAATAATTCCAAAAGCAATGCATAAAAATGGAAAATTAAATGATTCCGTTTCGAGCATGTATGCAAAAACTCCCAGAAGGGTTTGAGATAGGCCGAACAATTCAAATATATTTTTATGCAACTTGGTACACTGACGTCTTTTGAAACGCTATAGACAATTGTTCGGATCGGACCACTTTTTCGACCACTTCCCATATAATGTCTTAATTTGAAAGTCATTATATAAACAACACATGTTGAAACACGTTTAGGATGGCGTAGGTTATGACCACCCATTACAATGTTTTTACTTGCAGAAGTTAATCTGAAGTGATTTAAAAATGTGTGTTCGTTTTTATCTAAATTATTCGAAACTTTAACGTTTTTAAAGGAACATCATCCCGGTTGTATGCTATACTTTTCTGGTCGTATGCTATACTCTTCGGTCGTATGCTATACTTTTATGAAGTTCACCCATAATTTGAATAAATTTTCTTTTTTTTGTTGCCATCGTTTTACAAAAGCGGTACTTCAAGCATAAAAAAAAGAAAACAAGAAAAAATAAAAATTGAACTGTTTTTATGTATGTTTGCAAAATGTCAAAAGGGTCTAAAAATAAATCTATTACCGTCAAATAATAAACTGGATTACATACATATACACGCATAAAGTGATATAAGTTAACAAACATCCATACACTATTTTTCATGCATGTATATATAATGACTGTTGTATTCTATCAAGTTAAAAATGTTTATAACACAAAAATACAAACGTTACATTATCAGTTATGCGCAAGTGTTATGGATATGGTATAAATTATTTTCGCCCTTCAATCTTCACTTGCAAACAAAAAAAGAAAGCAGCATTCGTTTATTTACGTAAACGAAACTTTGGGAACATTAGTTGCGTTTGCGTTCGCAGAAGAAGGGCGCCGAAGCAATTCATTGACATTTTCCAAGATCGCCATTAAAAATAGTTAGTTGTCAATGAATTGATTATGAAAGCATATACAAACCGAGAATATTGTAGCAATAGCAACAAAAGCTTTATTTATGTATACGAGGTATGTATGCCGATTGAGGGGAAGAGACGCAAAAAGAGAGAGAGAGAAATATAGAATTTAGTATAAAATCGAAAAAGAAAGGAAAAAAGAAAAAAACAGTAAAAAATGAAAGAGACAAAGGCAAAGACATGAAACAGTGGAGATGACAGGGAAGCTCATAAATAAGGTTTTTCCGTCTTCAGTGGCAGTCTCATCATGAACATCAAGTTCATTATTCTCTAAAGTCAGTGTTTGCAAACATAACATTATTGTTATGCTCTTCATAAGCTTAAATACAAATACATAGACAAATGCATATACACACATGCAAGAACTTATTTATTATGCTTTTTACTAAAATAGTACTCTATTCCCAACATACTTGATAGCTTTCTCCTTTTATATCAAACGTTAAATGCATTTTATAGAAACTAAGTGTGCGTCAGTGTTAGTGCAAATATCTACACAGTGTACACAATGTATACAAAAGAGTTCAGGGTTTTATTGGCTCTGCATGTGCGCTTATGTTTGCACGTTATTCCTGTACGACGTTGTCGTCATAGTTTCTCCCTTGAGTTTTCTGGTAAAGTGTCAACACAATGTCAGTATCAGCACATTAATAAAAGATGCCATCTTTCGCATAATAGAATCAAATAAAATACAAAAAAATACAAAAAAATACAAAAACTAAAATCCCCACTGCCGGTATATAAACCAATGGACCTTTTTTCATTCAGTTTTTTCACTTTACACTTTTTTTTTGCATTTTCAACTTTACAAACTGGTAGCTGGATAGCAACTTGGTTGCAACTTACGCTACGTAAAAAATGCTATTCTTTGCTGTACCTTCAGGATCTTAAGTCCATTAATTTAAAAAACTAAAGAAATAATTTAAGGAGAAATTGAGTAAGACAGCAGCTATATGTTTATATGCGGTGTATCCGTCTGGAATCGTTGGCCGGTTGCTTTTGGATCATGTGCTTGGAGCCATGTACCTTGTTCGGTAATGCTGCCATGGTAGTCAAAACCATAACTTCACAGGCAGTAAATATGAAAAAATTCATTCCTATATGTTTACAAAAACGCAAGCAACTGCCATGAAACTGTATATAGTTTCAAAGATCACCCTCACAAAGAAATTAAAAACTTTGCGACAGGTGCTAGCAGTCAAATATAACTGATTGCGAACAAAAGACAAATTGAATAAATCTCTCAATACATTTTCCGCAAATTGTTGTTCTTATATGTATACGGTTACCCCTTAATATCATTTCACTATTCACATATACCACATACGTATAGATATGACAGTAACACCATGACTATAATTACATACGTATATGTACATTATCTATATATATCTTTGAAGCACTTTAGTCCATCGGCCGAAAAAAAGGGTTATTGATAATGAATACGATCAGACTATGTGTACGGAACGTACTCTTATAATAACGTATCTTGAAAATATGTTTATATGAAGAAAAATTACAAGTGGATACCAACTAAAATTTGAAAGGAGAATGTTTTTAGTGTCAGATAAATACATTCCCCGCCTACATACCCAAGAAGAACTCAGAAGAATGTGTATTTCAGACGCAAACAGCTGTCACTACCAGGTATATAACATTGATCAACTGATTAGCTACAAGGACATGTAGAGTGCAATTCGATTGGGATAGGATTATTATTTCTGAAATTTGATTCGCAGTAATTTTTATTGAATATTCGAAGATGTCTCATTAATCGTTGTGAAATAGTTCAAATAATCTTTAATAATAACACTTTGGAGTTTAATAAGTCATTCGGAAGTTGATTAATGAAATATGCATTTACCATTATTCTTACAAATAATAAGTTTTTATAAGGCAAAAATATTAAATATTAATTGGTCTCTAAAATTTTTAACTTTCGATTATTGTAGTGGGTTAGATACGTTTGGCCTTGGGCGACCGTAATATTTTCACTTGCATTATGTATTGTAAGCGAATCGTATGTTTTATGATTTAAAATATTGCTTCAATTTTTGTAACTTTTAAATTTTCTATTAGTACATGGACGAACATACATTTTTGCTCTTGAATGATTCGCTGGGTTGTAAAAAAAGACTCAGTGTGAACATACACTGCTTAACCCATTGACTGCCAAATATATTTAGAGCGTCTTGTCCTGGGTTCCAAGGTTTTATTTTGAAGTATACATGAAAGTTTACAAAATGTAATTATATTAAGTTACTAATATAATATATTGTAATATCATTTACAGTAATTTTTATTGAAAAAAAAACACTACGAGATAACTCGTAGCTGGCGTCACTAAATAAAATTCCTGTGCTAGTTGCCACTTACGCGTTATCTCGTAGTGATAATGATATGGCATCAAACTGGATGAACTTTGTGAACCTAACGGAATCGTCTTGAGAGTGAAAATTTATGCTAGCAAATATGATGATCTAAGTGGACTTCAAATGTCGTTTTGGCTCTGATGGATGGTTCCTGGATAGTGGTTATGAACTTTATATGGACAACCACTATAATTCAGTTGGGGTCGCGAAAAATTTCACGAGTAAATCAACATACGTATGCGGCACGTTAACATTTGACCGAAAGGGAAATCTAGAAAATCTAGTCAAAAAGAAACTGAATCAAGGAGACTCTGAATGGCTCAGATCAGTATCGATTATGGTCAACAAATGGAAAGATAAGCGGAATGTGCTGACTATATCCAACATGCACAAAGGTGAAATGGTTCAAG